AACCTCAAAATTTTCATTGAATTCGTTTCAGGATTCCCTCTGGACTACCCTTTTTCTCTTGGCATTATACGGAGAAGAACCTTGTAGTCAGTGCGCAAAACAGTCAGGTTCAATGAGTCATTTTCATATGAGAGTCTGAATGATTGAGAGGTAAACGAGTCACTGAAAGACGAGCACTCAGTCAGCACGTTTATTTTTCCGTGATGGTACTCAATACTTGTTTTGAATGATTGAGCGTACATTTTCTATGGAGAAATGCCTCAATTACATGCTGTGTGAGCGTCGAGCGAAGACAAGCGGTGTGAGTCGCCTGTTCGTGAGTGACTGAATGTTTTGTTGGCTCTTTCATAGCCTCGTCCTTCACCGTTTTGGTACAAACGGTCTGCACAGAGCAATAGATTGAATAGTGCAGTGCTTTCACACTCAGCCCATACATTCAATAATTTTACGCTCTGCTTGTAGTTCTCCTTACAAATTCATCTGAATTCTGTTTAGAATTACCTTGGAATCCTCATCAGAATTATGTCAGAAGTTTCCTTTCAATGCTACTTAGAATTCCCTTGGGATTTTACTCAGAACTTGGAATGTCCGTTCCACAGGGTGGCCACTAGATTTTTTAAATTAAATTCCCGTTTTTTTTTAAGTTTTTCGCGGGTGACCAACATATTTTTCCCGGTTTCATTTAAACAACCATATCAATCTGAACATTGCATTAGGTCCTAAGCAGGCATGGAAAATCATTTGCATTCATTTCATACATTTATTTGCTTCTAACTTTTTTCATCAACAGCATTCCGCAAAATGAAGTATAGAGCTTTTGTGGGTTCTGTTATAAGCTACAAGTTTTGTTCATAACTTAAATCCGTATCTCTTATGCATCACGAACTAGAGCGGGCAGAACTTGTTACTGTTTTTTCAGTGAATGTAAAATACATTCACTGAAAAACAGTAGTGGCTTCTATTCGCTCTGCTTCGTCATGCATAAGAGATACGGATTTGGCTTGTTAAAAAAAGTTGTAGCTAATAACAAAACCTACAAAAGCTCTATACATCATTTTGCGGAATGCTATTGAAGAAAAAAGTTAGAGGCAAATGAATGTAAATGAATGCACGAGAATGCAAATGATTTTCCATGCCTGGTCCTAAGTAACATTGATCGATTCTCTTTGTCGACTTTCAGCTTGATATATGGTAAAAAACAAATACAGAAAATTTTAAATATACCGTTATTTTGATGATCTTAGATTAAAACAAAATCATGGAAGCCCATCCACATTCAAGATTCGTCAATCGTTTTATTTGTTAACATGACTACATGGTAATAACAGCAACTCGAAGATTAAAAAGGAGCTCGTCTGCCTAGTGGCAAACGTTTTTGCTTACTGAGCAGAAGACCGTGGGCTCAATCCCAAGCTCCTTCGCGTTATATGATTGTTAGGACATCAATTCAGCTTATCGTTTACCAAAACGAACCCTGCTGCAAACCCAACCCTATTACCCAATATCCCAGTGATTCCTCGTGGAAGTGCAGAGGTGTTCTCGGCTTCCATCAAAGCGAGTGTCACGTCAACACATTCCTACCCCTTCCTTTCTTGACCTGTGTTTGGGCGCGGCCGGCGCGTATTGCCTAGTTTGAGATCACCAGTTTTTACACATTGAGGATGATTGCTAGTCCCAAGCATCGTCTATTAGTTCTCTGTGGAATTACAGCTGGTCTGGCAATAACAGAGCGGGCGGTCAATCATGCTCATGCTCTTAGATTAAAACAAAATCATGACTCTTAGAAGTAGACAAAATTTTAAAATTCTGGTTCTTTGTAGAAATGTCTAAAGAATTTTTATGAGAGTACCAAATGAACTTTGAAGAGGATAGTACAGAAATTCTAGGGATTATTCGTTTAAAACAAATCTGAAGTGAATTCCCACAGAAGTTCCAGATGATTTTGAGAAGTTTTTCAAGAAAATTTAAGGAGAAATAAAGGTAAATTTCAATGAGGTTTGAAGAGAATATTATCGGAACTATGACTAGAATTCCAGGGAATACCAAAGCAAATCACAGGTAGCACTCTAAGGGAATTGGGAGGATACATTAAACTGGATTAATCCTACGACAAACATAATGATAATATGGTTACAATCCTGATACTACCCCTAATAATAACTTCAGGGCTGTTACAAGAGTTTCTGAATTTGATCCGCGAAATCCGCGATTTCTCAAAAGAAATCCGCGACTTCAAATACTAATCCGCGACAAAAAAACTGTTTTCATTGCCTAAAAATACCATTTGTATACTACTACATGGCATTTCAAGCTTATTGCTTATAGCATATTAGATTTTTGCCTGCTCTCAACTTAGTGTTCTTTGAAGCACCTTCACATTTTAATTGAGTGCTTTCTATGCCTGTACCATCCTAAGCCCAAGGAAGTAGAGAAATTATCCAACCCGAAAAATTAATAGACCGGAAGGGAATTGAACACAGTCGCCTCCAGCATGAACTTGCTTTGTAGCTGCGCCTTTACCGACTGAACTAAAGGAATATCGTTTGTAACCTTTGAACAAAAAAAAATTAAAAACAACAATGTATCATCTTTACCTATTTATGTATAGTATAAATTCTGAGTAATTAGTGAACATAATAAAACACCCTTACATTATAAGATTCTATTGAATAATACCAGCCTAGATTTGATGAAACATTATTTAAAAAAAATTTAATGCATTTTAATTTGAAATGAAAATTTTCTTGAAAGTTAACCTTTGCGTCTCTTACGTATTTTGGTGTCCTAAATGTTGTAGTTAATTTGGCTCTAGTTTTCTCAATTTTTGACCGATTCAAACCAAACACCCTGCACATAATCGAGAAATTACCAGAGTTTCGTAAGTCACACTTGTTGGTCACGTCGCGGTTCTGTATTTACACGGATATTCCTTGGGGTCTGTCCAATGGTGAGACATTTACATTTTTTTTTATTTCTCATATGAAGCTTTTCGTTGCCAAATCATAACCGAATCGTCTACATGTGACTGTGTGGATCATGCACGACTTATTATTAAATTAAAAAAGAAAATGTCTCACATTCGACAGACCTCAGGGAATGTCCGTGTAAATCTGGTGTGACTTATGGAATTGAGATCATTTCTCGATTATTTGCAGGGTGTTTGGTTGACAAAATTGATGACAGCAAAATAATCCGAGACGGAAAGGTTACAATGAATTACACAATTTTTGTGACAGCACATCAGTCCCTTCGCGATTTTCGCGACATCATTTAATGTTTCCGCGATTTTCGCGACTGAAAGTTCAAATCCGCGGCAATTCCGCGAAATTCGCGACATCCGCGAAATTCGCGAAATCCGCGCCTGTTGTAACAGCCCTGTAACTTACGTCTTAAAATTTATTAATTGTTAATCAATCAATCAATCGGTCCACAAGAACTCAAATAATGATATCGATAATAATTCCAATGGAGTATAATTCTAAATATAACTAAAAATAATCTAAGAGAATTAAAAGGAATTTTGAGAGAATTCCAAGCTATTTCCGGCAGGGTTTCTAGGAGGATGATTCACAGGAAAATGTTGAGCAAACTTTCAAGAGATTCTATTAAAGGCATTTTTAGAAGAATTTCAAGAGCATTCTGAAGAAAACTCTCATGGAACTCTGAGATGAAACAAAATCTTAATGATATGCCAAGGGAATTCTGAGGAATTTTAAGAAATTTATGGAGATAAATGAATGCTACTTTCTCGAATGAATTGTGAAGAATACAATGTTAAGTCAAGTAAAGTCCTGTTTCCTAAAGACAACTCATGTAAATTCCCTCCAAAACATTGTAGAATTTCACTGTGATTTCTTTTCTGAAAATAACTGGATATTTTGAAGTGCCTAGTGAAGAATATTTAGAATTATTTCATACTAATTTTGTTAATTTGGACAAATTTTTGGCAAATTTTTCAAGACTCCATACACAGAAATTCAAGGTCCATTATTAAAATTTTGTTTTGTCTTAGAAAACGAGCGAGAGGGAGAGAGAAGGATTAGTAATTTCCATTTAATTCCGCTACCTTATTTGCTTATCCTTGACAGATACGCATATTTCGTCTACAATGTGCAATACTCGACTACAAGACACTGAAGAAGTCTGCTCGTTGTAGACGAAATACGCGTACCTGTCAATGATAAGCAAATATAATAGCGAAATTAAATGGAAATTACTAATCCTTCTCTCTCCTTCTTTATACAGGTATTGTACATTCATCAGGATTTAGAAAATTGTTCAAATATGGGACTAGAAATTTCAGAAAAGTGCAACAGTGACAGACGTAAATTGAATATCCTAGACATGAAGAAATTTTCTAGCTTCTGAAGCAAACAAGGTATTCAAGGTTTTAAAATGTTATTTAAATATTCAAAATCCATCGGATATTGAAACACTAGTGAAATTGCAAAGTAAACGAACATTGACGCGTCTGGACATTACCTCAATATCAAGTTATGAAGAGTTGACTCTCTACCGGTAGATGTTGTATCCTTGATACTGAAAATATTTCTCTCCGAATCACCTATGTTGAGAATCGGGACCGGAATAGCGAACCAACCTGTTCGATAATATACCTAAACACTTTCCACCAGAACTTATACGAACACTGCGTAGCAGGAAGTACGGTTTTGTAATACTTTTTAAAAGAAAATTTAAATAATATATGCAGTTACAAAAAATGTAGATAGTTTCTGGAAAGTTACTTGCTTTGTTTTAATATGGCCAAGTGGAAAGTGACTTGCTTTGTTCCAATATGGCGTGAAAGGATTCACTGTAATTTCAATTATCATTGGCTAAAAACTCTACTAGGCAGAGGATAAAATTACTCAAACTCTGCTCACTCGAATAGAATGTATCTCCAACATTTCAAAAACTTTCGTCATTAGCTGTGAGATTTCCGGGCCCCAATATTCAAAGTGGAACTTTTCCATCTTCTAAAACAATATCAATTTCCATACCTTTTCCAGTCGCTTCCTTCCCAATCCTCCTCACGAGTATTCCAGAGAAGAAAACTGCAACAATCGTTCACCACCGATAAATAATCCACTATCTTCTGCTCGGGTCACCACGACACTTCAAAGGTATTTTCTTCTTCACCAGCCAGCCAGCCGTGTGAATCACCAATACACTCTCACGCAATTTTTGACCATCGTCTAGCAGCGAGAGAAAAATAGAACGACCGATCGAAGAAAAAAAAAAACCTTATTCCCAACACACACTTGTTTGTTCACCGACGTCGGACGAGGACGAAAATCCAATTTCTGCTGTTCTTCTTTATTCGCCTCTTTGCTTCGGACAGTCCTTCTCTTCAATCGATCTCTTCTTCTTCTGATGTTCAATCATCCGCCGCCGCTGCCGCAGCAACTCACTGGCTTTTCCGAACCGTTCTGGAACGATTTTCCTCCTTCCTTAGGCAAGGAAAACTTCTCCCCGGAGCCGACCACGTACGGAAAATGCCATTTTCTGTCAAAAATGGCTTCCACACACCTGAAAATTCGGAGACCTTGAGAACACACTCTCGGAACGAGTGAGAGAGCAAAATCCCTCTTCTTCGTCTTCCCGATTCGATTTCACGTAAAAATTCTCAACACGCAAGGGTTTCTTCTTTCACGTCACTGACTGAAAATTCGATTCTTCCAATAATCCGCAGAATTTCGATTCAACCGGAGACCGCCGATGACCGGTTCGATTTCTGCTAATTGATGATGACCGTCGTTACTGGTTTTTTCGGCTGAAGAGCCTCTTTTTCGGATGCGCAACTTGAGAGGAAAAAACCGCTGACTGACACACTACACAGAAATTTCGCGACCGCGTCGAGCAAAGCAAAGCGTTTCGGTTGAAGTCTCGCACTGGTCTGAAAAAGAAACGGAGTTTTTTATTTGAGAGAGCGAACTTTTCGGAAGGGTTGCCAAAAGTATGCGATGTTTGCATGAATGACAAGGTTCGATGTTTTAACTGTCATTTAATGCACACTGGGATCGGTTAATGAAAATATAGGGCAAAAAACTTAGCCAATTTGTTAATCATTTTTCGTATCCTTGATGCGTTTTTGTATGAAAAGGTTGTTCCATCTTGGTTACATGATATGGCCCAGCTTTTAAAAAATAGACTCGATAGGGGTTGGCAATTATCGACGGCTCATACCAATTTCAAAAATTGTGTATGGACAATTGTCTATGCAGGGGGAGGGGGTGGCAAGAATCCCAAAAACTGTCTACGCAGTTTATGAACAGCCCCTATTGTAAACAAAGAAAACTAAGAACTCTGGAAGTGTGCTACACAGAAAAAAGTTGTTGAATATTACATCCAAACAGCTGCACAGAGGTCATTCCACTGGTTGTGTAATATTACCATAGAGGTAACTCTAAGACCACTGGGTCCCGAAGAAAATCATTATTATTTTTGGCTCACTCAGTACCAGAACAACGGTCCCAAGCAGTCCCAAGCTATTTCACTCACCCCTGCATGTTCTGCATGAATCCACACACCCCTGATGTTATCTGTCAAACTTTCATAGCGAATCAAAACAAACATAGTGTAGTAATAGAATTTCAACTAGAATAGGGTACGTTAATCGTTTGCTTGGGACCAATAGGCTACTAAAGTGGTGAGCCAATTTAAAATCGTTAGTTTCGTATTGATTGTTGATATTACGTTGTACGACGTATACCGATTTTTTGCGAACAAATTTACATCCATTGATGTAATATTGTATCTGCTTTTTGCTATTATAACATTATTTCATACATCAGCTCGAGTTAATAGATTTTACATTTTTTTTTTGCGGTGTAGGACCACTTATTTTCATTCTGTTTATCAATGACCTTGCTCTCCGCTTATCATCTGGCAAATCTTTCTTTGTAGATGATTTTAAATTATTCAAGGTAATCACATCGGATTTGGACTGTGCTGCTGCGCTGCTATCTTGGAAAGTAATGAAATGTCCTGTGAAATTGTTTTGTCGTACTTAACGTAATTTAAAGTACTCAGAATGTAATTAATGGTACTACAAATATAGTTAATCGACTTTAATCATGCGATTACGACTGTTATTAATGGACTTAAAAAGAAACATGCTGTAATTAAAGTAATTAAAACTGTAATTAATGGAATTAATTTAATTACAGCACTTGCCTGCGTTAGAATTAGAGGTTATTGCGTGCCCCTCGTTACTTTCATTACAGCATTGAAATCCATTAATTACATTAAGTACTTTTGCTGGGATTTAAAATCGGACGCACTGGTTCTGAGTATTCCGAGGCGATAATCATGGACAGCGGAGGGAAGCAATCCTCCGGACCGGAATAAAATCGAGAAAATCGTTAAGGTGAGAAGTTTTGAGAATGTGGATGGTTTTTGATGAATTAGTTTTGATTTTGCAGCACCGGAACTGGAATGCAGGTTATCATGGAATGCAAATAGCTGAGGGATGCCGTCGAGCAGGACAAACAGAATGACAAAGTGAGGCTTTGCATCAAGTGCAACATGACGATCAACACAACGTACCGCAATTCAGACTCGGTCAATACGCAAGTTCCACTCACGATAAACTGTTTCCTACACCCAATAGGGAAGATTTACTCCTGCTAATCAATTTGTTCCACAATTCCATTTCGATCAGGCAAGTCACTCAAACCGGTTATGGTATCGGCATAACATAATTTGTTTGTTTTCCGAAGCCTAGACGAAAAACAATGATTCGCTATGAAAGTTTGACAGATAAAATGAGGGGTTATTGGTTTTTCCTATGTTTCGAGGGGTGATTCGACAAGCTTGGGACCGAAGATAGTACCAGAGGTGAGCCAAAAAGTTGAGCACGTTTCTTCGGGACCTACTTGTCTTAGAGTTACCTCTATGATGATACTCTATGCCCAGGGAAGTCGAAAAAATTTCCAACCCGAAAGATTCCCTCGACCGGACCGGGAATCGAACCCGCCGCCTCCGGCTTGGTAATACCGTGTCTTTACTGACTAGACTATGAGGCAACACTACAAACAAATAAAAAAACAAAAATTGGATTTTATGTTTGAATAGAAACAACAGTAAATATGAACAACTTATTTTAAAATATCCACAGGTTTATGATGAACCACACAGCAAAAAAGTTGTTGAATATTACATCGAAACTGCTGCAACCAGGTCAATCCATCGGTTGTGTAATATCACATTGTACGATGTACATCGATTTTGCGAACAAATTTACATCCATTGATGTAATATTGTATCTGCGTTTTGCTATTCCATCATTATTTCATACATCAGCTTGAATTACGTTGATCGATATTACATTTTTTTTTGCTGTGCACCATATTCTCAATTGGGCAGGTCTACAATTTTATTTCTAAAATTGAAACTTTTATTTTGACACTTCTAAAATTTTGTTTTGAAAGCTTTGTCATCACAGAACTCAGAATTTTTATTTTTATATTTTCAAATGGAAATTATCTGACTTTCTACCAAAAAGAACCAGCGAGAACTTTTAATTCCACCAACGATTTTTCAGAATAACATTGTTATAACCGTTAAAATACGATGGTTTTCATTGTCATTGTAACTATGATATTTATTGTCAAAACATTGGACATTTTTGTCGATTACCATAAAATCACAACAAAATTAATGGTTCACAACATTGAGAAACATGGTATTTGATAAATTACAGTAAAAATGGAGGGTTGTTGAGCATCTTAATTTTTCTCCGACAAATTTGATCCCCTCACATAAATTTTCATTGTTTGAGCATTGTATCGTTATAAATACAATAAATACAATAAATGTTTATGTACTCAAATTCAACATTGGAAATCATTGTAACTTCGTTGTTTTATTATATTTTTTTTTCGTGAATCCAGAACGAAATAAATATAGCATTCACTGTGATTTTTTTTATAAAAAAGAAGTGCAATCCCTAATAAACAAATATCATAAACGAACTGTATCCCAAATGAGTAAACTATCCCACAAATGGTTTGGATGATACCCCGAACACGTCGTTAAGCTCTCTTTTATGGTTATCTTTATTAAGGATTGACACTTGATTTTGGATTCTTTCAAAGGCTGGAAAACAAAACAACTCAAAATCGAGATAAAATAATGTCCGTGACTGCCTCTAACTCCACAGGGCCTGGGTTCAATCCCAGTCGACGGTGACGCGATTTTCTGAGTCATAAAACCTATGATAACGACTTCCTTCGGAAGGGAAGTAAAGGAATCAAAAGGATCAGAATCAAGGAAAAAAATGTCCTCTAAAGTAAGAACTCTTTCAAGACTAGTGTTTGAGTACAATTAACGAAAAGTAAGTGTTCTGGTTGTAAATCCAGATTAAGTTAAAAGTGTTCATCAATGAGAATAAAATTTCATCCAAAACCTCGTTGAAAACCGTAATGATAATGGAGTACTAATTTTCAGTACTTTCTATCTCGATGTTGAGTTGTTTCGTCATTCCGTGTTGTGAGATCTCGCTAAGATGCACATACCTTAAACTCGGTAAATAATATCTAGATATCGGTAAAAATGACCGATAATCGAAGAAAGTGCACGTAACTAAATTATCGGTAAAAGTAACGATTTTTATCGGTAAAAATACCGATAATTTTTTACCGATAATTTTAGGTAATCGTAGCTAAGAGTGTAGCTCAATTACAAATTCCATGTTTTACAACTCGTACACTGTTCACATCTCCATATTTCGTAATCTACGAATACCCCTCAAACTGTCAACGAAAAAACTATAAAGCAAAAACAAAAGAAAGCAGAAAATCTGTGACAACAGCAAAAGGTTTGATCATCGGTTATTATTTTCCCAAAAAAAAATAAAACTAGTGCCATCAGCAGAGTGCTCTAAATTAGGAATGTTTTAGAAGCTCGTAAGGATAAAAGAACATGGAAGGTGATCGATTCCTAATGGCAGCGGGTGTAACCGCTGCCGTCGTCGTAGGTGCTTTTGTATTCTGGGGCCCCTCTGGTAAGTTACGCATCGTCCGAGGAGAAAAATCGATAATCAATCTCTTGAGCTTGATTGATGAATAAAAGCACTGATTTTATTTTTTGTGGGCATTTACCGATACAGGTAACTCTCGATTACGTCAACGACGCGGACAGATTGCCGGATTGCATAACTTTGGGAAGACTTGCTTCCTGAACACGCTCCTACAGGCCCTGGCCGCTTGTCCGCAGTTCATCGCATGGCTGCAGTTGCACAATACCAAAGACAAGAAAACACTGGTCAGCTCGTTGCAGAATGTGCTGGAGGTGGTCAACGGGACTCATCCGACGCTGCGCGGGGATCCGTATTCACCGGGAGCGGTCATCCGGGCGTTAAATACTTTGGGCTGGGTGATCCCACCAGACGAGCACGATACGCACGAATTGCTACATGTTTTGCTGAACTCATTGGAGGAAGAGGTGACGAAACCGAAGAAGATCGGTTGCCTGTCCGATGCCCTTGGGGAGGAGGAATTGATGGCTATGATGCCTCCGGCAAGGCCATCGAGTGCCATGCTTTCGGATTTTTGCAACGCCGAGTACGATGAATCTACCAATTTGACGCGGTATGCTCGCTCGGAAGCGCACACTCCGGATTCACCTCACTCGACTTGTACGGATACGGAGGATTCGATGGCCGCGCATGATGGGTCTCTCTTGGATTGCGCCGGGTCGCCTCCGTCGATAATTTCTACCTTTTCGGGACGTCCGAGCAGACCGAAATCGATTCTGGCCTCGGATATGGGCCGGAATGGCACGTTAGACAAGCGGTCTTCTGGGTCGTGCAGGTCTCTGGAAAGGCTAATGCGCGGTCCAGGACGGGTTTCGGTGTGGGGAGATCGTCAGCAGATTCAAGTTCCTCACCCGTTCCGAGGAGGTTTGAGCAGTCAGCTGTGCTGCTCCGGCTGCGGGTATAAATCCGTTGTCCGGTACGACAAATTCGATAGCGTCACTCTTTCCTTACCGGAAATCAAAAATCCTGGAATTTCGGTTGGAAGTCTTCTGACGGAATTCATACAACCGGAAACTCTCAATGGGGTCCAGTGTGAATCCTGCAACGAAACGACCACCCACACGAAAACTCTCACCTTTAGCAAGCTCCCTGCTTGCCTGTGCATTCACATCGCCCGAACTACGTGGCTCCCGACGGGGCACGCCTATAAGCGGCAAGATTTTGTCCACTTTCCGGAAACCCTCTCGATGGCTCCGTACAGCTTCGTGCAGCCAAGTCTGAACAGTGCCATGAGTACACCGTGGGGATCGACCATGTCCCTGTATTCGGCCAGTCTGGGAGCGGCCGCTTACGAAGCCTCGATGGGCGGTGGACCGACGGAACAGTCCACGCCAGTCGGATCGGTAGGCAGTTCGTTCAACTTCGGTTCGTACACATTCGGGGCCATGTTTCCGAAGAACCTTTACCGACTGTTGGCTGTAATCGTGCACTCGGGTGAGGCGAACAGTGGCCACTTTGTGACGTACAGACGGGGGGCGCTGCGGAGTTCTCACAAGTATGTTTGGTTTTCGTTTGCTGGGACGATACGTAATGACTTCTTACCCATCAACAGGTGGTACTACACTTCGGACACGGTGGTGAAGGAGGTGAGTATTGAGGAAGTGCTCAGCACGCCGGCGTACATGCTGTTCTACGATCGGGGACCGTCATCCAAGTACACCCAACCGGGTGGAAGCGCTGGAGGAGGAGGAGGCATGGGAGGTTCTTCCGGGATGGGACAGTAGGATTTTAAGGTAGGTTTTTAGTAGAGAACACGGTAGAAATCGTAGAGCGACGTTGTAGAAAGAGTTCCAAAGAATTTCCTAAAACAGATAAAACTACATTTTCCACCGGCTACAAAGAAGATATTATTACAACACAGAGAATTTATAAAGCTAACTAACTGAACAGCATTACTCAAACTGATGGGATGAATCCAATCGAGTCGAAGGCATTTATTTCAAGACTTGTAGAAGACCCTGCTAGGTACTATTTATAAGATGTTGAGTTCCAGAACGTGCACAATAGATGTTCGTGTGCCGGTCTACCTACTTACATACTAGCTTCAGTGTAAATAGTATTTATACTAAATATAGCAGAACTAAAACTACTGCTTCTACTGCAACGGTCAAGGCTACGGAATTTGTTTCAAGAGTAATAGAATTCGCCTGTTTGTTGGTGGCAAGTACACTTGGTAAAACTCCTCAAATGCGTAGGAGTTCAGAAAATACCAGGCCAGTGACAAGACCTATAGACCTATACTCTTGCCCTGGGTATAGTTGAGCGGACAAAATTCAGCAAGAGAGAGAAATACACTGAACGAAAACATCAGCGATACTTCGAATGATTATTGTATTGCTCGAGCACTTTAACATTATGCTTTCGAATTTCGGATGGTTGCCTTATGGTTGAATTCGTCATCAACTGAGGAGCATCCGTATGACTGTCATACAGATAAAGGATGATATTTATTTGAAAATTTGCTGAAAACGAGGGCGCCATTGTTACAAATCGACTTCAGCTGGTATGGAAAAGCTTTGGTCGAATCGGCTAGAGCATGATTGAACACCACAACAAAACTTACGATAAAATCATGCGAGCTTTATTTTTCCCACCCATTCTTTTCCTAACTCCTGAGCTCCTGATTCCTCAAACTTCCCAGCTGATTCTTCACATACTTCTTCAATATTGCTCGGGTACTCACGGCTACCGGAACTTCGCTGTCATTCTTCGTGCTTACCCTTAGCACACGTGGTCTCGCTTGCACATGCACATACCGGACGAAATCCATGCAGCTACGACGTAAAAGCGCCGTGCGTGCTCCACCTGGACCGGCTTCAATAACCAGACGACGTCAAGCGGCAAGGTTAGGACGCTCTGTCATCCTGTCCATCACACGATCCCGACGATGGTGGCTTTCCTTCAATCCAACCGAGCCGATCCTTTTCAGTGGTGCGGCGATTGCAAAAGTCAATGCGATCCCGACTCGTTCCTCACCATGTTGTTACGGCGCTCTTGTTGGACAGTTTGGACTTTTTTTTTTTTTTTTTTTTTTTTTTTTTTAACTCTTTATTTGTTCCAAATTCAAAATAAATTACATTTCCTTTTAACCTAGGTGCTCCAGTTACTGCAGTAACGTACCAGCCTTAATTGTTATGATATATATCTAAGTGTTTTTACATTGTTCATGCCTTGGCAATTATGTATTTTAAACAGGTTTTTTAACCTGCATGTCAGTATAACAATTGATATCTTAAAACTAAAAACTAAAACTTAATCTTATCTAAGTATAAAGAGAATTAATCGTTGCAATTGAGGATTGCAACGATTTTTGCCTGAAATTATTAATTATTTTGTTGGACATTTGTGCTAAAGTCTCAACATTCGAAATTCTATGTACTTCGGTTGTACTGTACCAGGGAGGCAACTTCAAAATCATTTTCAGAATTTTGTTCTGAATCCTTTGAAGTGCTTTTTTCCTGGTAGTGCAGCAACTAGACCATATTGGCACAGCGTAAAGCATGGCCGGTCTAAAAACTTGTTTAAATATTAGAAGTTTATTCGTCAGGCAAAGTTTGGATTTCCTGTTTATAAGAGGATACAAACATTTAATATATTTGTTACATTTGGCTTGAATGCCCTCAATGTGATCCTTAAAAGTTAATTTTTGGTCAAGTATTAATCCAAGATATTTCACTTGGTTTGACCAGGAAATTGGAACTCCGTTCATAGTGACTATGTGACTACTACTAGGTTTCAAAAACGAAGCTCTAGGCTTATGTGGAAATATTATAAGTTGAGTTTTGGAAGCGTTGGGAGAAATCTTCCATTTTTGTAAATAAGAAGAGAAAATATCTAAACTTTTCTGCAGTCTGCTGCAAATAACACGAAGACTTCTTCCTTTAGCGGAAATGCCTGTGTCATCAGCGAACAAAGATTTGTGGCAACCCTGAGGCAAATCAGGGAGGTCCGAAGTGAAAATGTTATACAATATAGGCCCAAGAATGCTACCCTGAGGAACTCCTGCTCTAACAGGTAGTCGATTAGATTTGGAATTTTGATAATTTACCTGCAGAGTTCTGTCAGTTAAATAATTTTGAACTAATTTCATAATATAAAGTGGAAAATTAAACTTTTTCAATTTAACAATCAAACCTTCATGCCAAACACTGTCGAATGCTTTTTCTATGTCTAGAAGAGCAACTCCAGTTGAGTGGCCTTCAGATTTGTTTGAACGAATTAAATTGGTAACTCTTAAGAGTTGATGAGTAGTTGAATGCCCATGGCGAAATCCAAACTGCTCATCTGCAAAAATTGAGTTCGTATTGATGTGAAGCATCATTCTATTCAAAATTATCTTTTCAAAAAGTTTACTTATTGAAGAAAGCAAACTTATTGGACGGTAGCTAGAAGCTTCAGCTGGATTTTTATCCGGCTTCAAAATTGTAACAACTTTTGCATTTTTCCATTTATCAGGAAAGTATGCCAAATGGAAACATCTGTTAAATAATTTTACCAAGAAAGACAAGGTACTCTCTGGGAGTTTTTTGATGAGGATATAGAAAATTCCATCATCACCTGGAGCTTTCATATTTTGAAAATTTTTAGTTATAGACCTTACTTCGTCCAAATCAGTCCCCCAGGAATCATCAAAAATATTTTCCCGAGAGAAAATATTCAAAAAATCCCGAGCAACCTGATTCTCAATAGGACTAGTAAGACCCAAACCGAAATTATGGGAACTCTCGAATTGCTTAGCAAGTTTCTGAGCTTTTTCCAAATTTGTGATCAAAATTTTACCACCTTCTTTGAGCGCTGGAATAGGCTTTTGAGGTTTTTTCAAAATTTTTGTGAGTTTCCAAAAGGGTTTGGAACTCGGGTCTAATTTAGAAATATTATTTTCAAAAGTTTTTTTCCTCAGGGCAGAGAATCGCTTTTTAATTTGTTTTTGCAAATCCCGCCAGATAACTTTCATGGCAGGATCGCGTGTTCTTTGATATTGTCTCCTACGGACATTTTTAAGACGGATCAAGAGCTGAAGATCATCGTCTATTATAATTGAATCGAATTTAACCTCGCATTTTGGTACTGAGGCAGCTCTTGCTTCAACTATAGAAGTAGTCAGAGATTCAAGAGCATAATTAATTTCATCTTTGGTTTGCAAAGGAATGTTTGGATCGAAGTTATATTCCATAAATGTTCGATACTGCTCCCAATCAGCTCTATGGTAATTGAAAGTAGAGCTGTTGGGATTACAAATTATTTCTTGGGATATTTCAAAAGTTACTGGAAGGTGATCAGAACCGAAGTCAGCATGGGTAACCAATTGGCTACAAAGTTGACATGAATCAGTTAAGACCAAATCAATAGTGGAGGGATTTCTTGCAGAAGAAAAGCATGTTGGGCTGTTTGGATATTGAATAGTGTAATAACCTGCAGAACAATCATCAAACAGAATATTACCATTGGAATTGCTTTGAGCATTATTCCATGAGCGGTGTTTTGCATTAAAATCACCAATAATGAAGAATTTAGACCTATGACGGGTAAGTTTCTGGAGGTCACCCTTGAGAAAATTCTTTTGCTGGCCTACGCATTGGAATGGCAAATAGGCAGCTATAAACGTAAGTTGTCCAAATTTTGTTTCAACAGAAACCCCCAAAGTTTCAAAAACTTTGGTTTCAAATGAAGAAAGAATTTTATGTTTGATTCGTCTATGAATAATGATGGCAACGCCACCACAGGGTCCATCAAGACGATCATTTCTATAAATCAAGTAATTTGCGTCCTTCTTAACCTTATGGGCAGGTTTAAGGAACGTTTCAGTTATAACGGCAATATGCACGTTATGAACTCTTAAAAAGTTAAATAGCTCGTCTTCATTATCTTTAAGAGATCGAGCATTCCAATTTACAATATTTAATGCTTTAAAATCCATTACTGAATTTTAAAGTCATGACAATATTATTTGCAAATTTTACTCCAGTTTGAATAGCATCAAACATGGAGTTAGATTTAAGCATATCAGAAATCATGTCAATTAATGAATTCTGTAAAAATTCCATTTTGGGGGCAGTAATGTTTCCTAAGTCAAAATTGTCAAAATTTCCATTAGAACGTTGGTTAGTATTTTGATTTCTACCCGCTGCAATAGCAGCATAGGTAGCTCCATTAACTCGCTGAACATTGTTAGCAGCGAGGGGAGTAGGTACAGATGAAACATTTGAAGCAGGGGAGATATTTGTACCTACGGGTACGAATGTAGAATTTGTTCCTCGCTGACCGTTGTTAACAGCAGAGGAATTTGTACCTGGTCGGAAACGTGGAGCGTTTCCTACCTGACGGTTAGAACGAGATTGTAGGATCGCTTTGCGAGTCTTACATTCCCAAAAATTGGATTTGTGGTTTTCACCACAATTTGAACATTTAAATTTCTTAGGATCTTCCTTCACAGGACAGTCGTCCTTTGCGTGAGAGGAATCACCACAATTCATGCATTTAGCTGGCATGTAGCAATTTTTAGTTCCGTGACCCCATCCCTGGCACTTACGGCACTGGGTGAGGTTTTGGAAATTTCCTCCAGTCTTCCTGAAGTGTTCCCACTTCACTCGGACATGGAGCATAAGGCTAGCTTTTTCTAAGGCCTTAAGGTTGTTTAGTTCACTAGACTTGAAGTGAACTAAATAAAAATCATTAGAAATCCCGTTGCGCGAATCGCCAGGACGGGATTTCATTTTCATTTTGATTACTTGGAGTGGCACAACTCCAAGTAATTTTGCCAGTTCATCTTTGATCTGATCCAGGGATTCACCACTGGGCAGTCCTTTCATGACAACCTTGAACACACGTTCAGTTTTGGTGTCGTAAGTAAAAAATTTGTGCTTCTTCTCAGTAAGATACTTGAGAAGACATTTAAATCCGTCCAAGGTTTCAGCCAATACACGGCATTCACCCCGACGTCCAATTTGTAGTGAAAACTTAACTTTCACGAAATTCAAAAGTTCCATGCGAAGAGCATGGAAATCGGAAGTGGTTATCACAATAGGGGGAATCTTTTCCTTCTTGGCATTAAGCCGGGAAAGTTTACTAGAATTTTTCTTGGATGATGGATCATTCTCATCATCCGTGAGCAAATCAAATTGATTACTCAAATTAATTTCATCAGAAGGGGGGTCAAGAGTTTGCCCCTTTCTTTTGCGTTTAGGCGCCATGGCGGCAGTAAATTTTTATCCAAATCGACTTCCAAGCAGATTACTATAAGAATCTGAAGGATCGAAGAGGAATTTTCCAAATCGATATCCAAGAAGGATTACCTCGGGTAGGGTCCAAACAAGGATCAAAGAGGAATAAGAGTTGAACAAGGTAGAAAATTTTTACAGGTTGAGCACTGAAAAGTGCTGTTTAAATTTGTTGTAGCTTTAGGTAGTAGTAACACTTCCTTCAGCAAAAAGCAAATAGATCCGCACGGCAAGAGAGCACGATGCGGACTGCGGACAGTTTGGACTGTTCCTCCCGACAATTCGGGCTGTAAAACAAAAAGCCCTGAGGCAACACCTCTCAGCATCCATGTACCGGCAAATCAACGCAGCGACTAACTTACTTTGTCTGAAGGTTTTTGTTTAATTTACGGCACTAGCCGTATTCCGGTCGTCCTCCTCCGTTCGACTTGTGGCTTCCGTTATCAGCGTGACGCGTGCCCTAAGCTCGTGATTCACCTCGCAGGTGTCCGATGCTGTGCACTTCCAATGTGGTGTCAGAGTTCGCAAAACGTGCGGAAGCTCGTCGTTTCTGGCCGGCCGAGACCGGGTATGTTGGTCACCTGGTTATTATGCCAAACGCACTGCTCACTGTACCTATCGTCAACCAAATCGTTTGAGGCAACCAGGAGATTTCGCCGCCTTACGCTGGCGGTCTACAACCGAGATGACGGTTTGAGGTGTCGTCTGCGGCTGACGATTGTGATAAACCAAATTTTCCTCGGTGAAAATGCACTCATACATTGTAGATAGTTTAATTAGCTGGAAAGCTGGGTTTAGACATGGCAAGTCAATTGATCAAGTCAGTTGAACTTGAACGCGAATTGAACGGTAAACCATGCCATTCATCTGACTTGATCAACTCACTTGAATTGAAAAAAGTTGAACCAGGCTCAACTTTTCAAGCCAATTGAATTCAACTGAGTTGATCATTTGACTTGCCTAGTCTAAACCCAGCTTTATCGAAGAATGTTTGCACTTTTCCCGCATTGGGATACACTGGAAGGACACTGAAGTCAACTACCCATATTCTGTATTTCGTTTCGAACGAAATTCTCATACAAAAAAATATTTTTTTGTATGACAATTTCGTTCGAAACGAAACGCAGAATAGAGGTGAACAACAAGTGTGTTTTTACGAACTACACGGTAAGAAAAAAGTACCCAAAATTGAGTTCCTTTCACTCATCACGTGGCTTCCGTGGGGCTAGGTAAAATTAAGTTAAAGAAGAAAACTCAATTTTGAGTAATCCTGGCGTTGACCAAGTTGACAAAAAAAAATAATAAAACGGAGCAGACTGGAAACGAACCATGGACGTTGAGATTACGGGGCCTGTGTGTTGACCACTAGTCTATCAACGCTTGTGAAAATGAAATGGTTAAAGGCGCATAAAAGCAACCTCAATGAAAATAAACTTATATTTGAGTTCATTTATTATTACTCAATAGTTGAGTAAATTTTAACCAACGCCGCTTTTCTGATTCACTCAACGGCGGACCTCAAATGATAGAACCCAACGTTGAGTTTTTTTTTAACTTAATTTTGAGTATTTTTTCTTACCGTGATACATTCATTTTCGCTACAATATTTCAACACGTTAAGCAGAGCAGAAAAAGCACAAGTGCGATCAATGCGAGTAATGGCTGTCGAATGATGCACTATGTTCGGGATTGTCCATTTCCAAATCATTTGCACTGAAGTGCAGCGAAACCGTATCGGCCACAAGGAAGGCTACTGTGGCTGCTACTCCGAACTGTTCCTAAGCACATCCGTGACGATAGTTCAACCCTACTACCACAGACGTGAATCGCTCAGTCTAGTTGACGGGTGCGTCAGCGACAGAGTCGTGGTTCCCGTCAAGTTTCGATGATGGATTTTGCAACAATTCCACCGAAGTCATCCGGGAATGGTACGTATGGCAGCAATAGCACGAAGTTTTGTTTACTGGCCTGATATCGATAACGAAATTGAGGATTACGTCAAACGCTGCACACCGTGTTCAACTGCTGGCAAGATACCAACCACGATGACGTTGGAATCGTGGCACGTTCCTTCTAAACCATGGTCGAGGATTCACATTAGACTACGCACGTCCAGTGGATGGAATCTACTTCCTGGTAATGATAGACCCTTACTCCGCCGGAGATGAGCCAGCGTCTGGCTGAAAATCTCCTTAATAAAGACAACCAACCAACCACCGACCGTAACTCCAAATGGCCTGAGGTGCACGCAATCAAATCTACGACATCGAAAACCACAATTAAGCTGCTGTATCAATCCTTCGTAACGCTCAGTGTTCCAGAGGTAATCATGTCTGACAACGGCAAGCCAGTTTTCAAGTCTTGAATTTCAAGATTTCTGCACCAATTAAAGGATCCACTATATTCCCATTGCTCCGTATCATACACAATCAAACGGGCTTGCCGAAAGATTCGTGGACACATTGAAGAGAAGCCTCCGGAAAATTTGTTCGGGAGGAGAAAAGCTTGAGAAAAACACTAAACATTGTTCTGCAAGTATATCGCTCTACACCAAATGGACATCTGGTTGGCAAATCTCCAGCAGAGATGATGTTTGGGAGACCGACTGAACGTGGCATCATATCCAGAGACAGCAAGAAACAGAATAATGCTTTCAACTAAAAGCATGGCGAGGTTTTCAGTACGGTGATTTCGTATATGTCAAGGTGCATCGAGCGAATTTACGGCAGTAGGAACCATCAACCGTAATCGAGAAGATAGGAACCGTCAACTGCAATGTGTTCCTTAAAGATCAACATCGTCTGCATCCTACAGTTCCACATGAAGAAGCACTGCCGTTTGAAGAACATTTTCCCAACAATCCAGATGATTCCGACCTGACAGATTACTTGCCGGAAAATTAAGGCACCAATAATGAGGGATCCGAAAATTGACAGGGAACTAATGACAACTGAAGTAGAAGAACCAGTCTAAACGACGCAGAGATCGACGTATGATCCAACTTCCGGCCCGGTTCAAGCCCTATTGGATGGTGAAACCTTTTGGGGAAATTTGGATCCCAGCAATCATTGAACACTCAATCCAATCAGAGTAACCTTTGAATTAAATATTTGTCACCTGACGATTAATTCCGAATTAAATTTTAATGGGCAGCAGAGTAAACGTAAAACGCGTGTGTTATGTTGTACGGTTAAATCACAAGTGAAAGAATTTATTTTTCCTTCGTAGTAACAGACAGTCATGGGTTGCTTCGATTTATTTCATCACTCCTCCTCAACCCATTGGTGTTTGCATTCCCATCGCTTCACGGCATGCAATGAATTTAGCAGCTGGTAACGGCTTCGTAAGGCCATCCGACGATCTTGTAGTATACGCAAGGGTCATACACGGTGCACTCGAGTCCAAATTTTCGAAGTGCGGCATCCAGCTTCATATTCCAGACCCGGCTAGATTGTTTCAGGCCGTATAGGGCCTTATTGAGACGGCATACCTTGGCTTGATTCTGCCCATCCATGAAGCAAAGGGGTTGCTCCATGTATATTTCCTCCGAAAGCTCACCTTGGAGGAAAGCTGTGATAGCATCCATTTGGTCTATCTGCAAATTCCATCGTGCCGCCAAGGCAAACAGATACCGCAAAGAACTATGATGGACAACCGCGGTGTAGGTGTCCTCGTAATCCACTCCCTTTCGTTGCGAGTATCCTTTCACGACCAGTCTCGCCTTGTATCGGTTAATGTTACCGCTACCGTTTAGTTTCGTCCGGTACACCCACTTGCACCTGATTGCCTTGCGTCCTTCTGACAAATCAGCGAGTGTCCAAGTACCGTTGGAGATGAGGGCCTCATATTCCTCCTTCATGGCCTGTTTCCATCGTTCCGCATCGTCACAGGATAGTGCTTCCTGATGGGTCATTGGATCATCCAGGACTGACTGTTGAAAATCGGCACCAGTATCTGAACATTCAACAATATCATTCAAATACTTGCCTTGGGGCAAGCGCCCCCTATCGCAGAGCATCAACCCTCCTTGCATTTCATCGCTAGTAGGTCTTTGATTTGAAGACGACGGGGGCGCAGCGGTTTCCTCGGTTACGGATGCAGGCTGAATTGTATAACGCCTCCGATCATCTGAAAATTTCAAAGACGGCAATCCTTTGGTCTGTAAACGATAATCCCTACCACTTTGCCTCAATGCCTGTGACTGGGGCGGATTTGAAACTGTGCACGGTGGGAGCGCAGGATCTGTCACGGTATCAGCAGCATCCACAAAGGATTCATCACTTGAAGTCGTTTCTTCGTTGTCCGTCACGTCGTGTTCATCGTTTTCCGGTACATCTAGGTTGGTTTCAAAGTCTACCTCCGAAATCGTAAAATCCAGCCGAACAAAGCTGCGTTCTGGACCATTGGACTTCACTGCTACTACCACTTCATGCTCACTGGATCCCTCGTCAATGAAAGTTACGTCACGACTTCTGAAGATTGTGGCTGTCTTCAAATTGTACAAGCGGTACGCTTTCGTTTCGCCGTCGTACCCAGTCAACACGCACTGTTCAGCCTTTTGGTCCCACTTTTGCCGCTTTTGCTTCGGCACGTGCGCCATCACAGTCGTACCAAAGATTCTAATGTGGGAAAGATTCGGCTTTCGTTTCGTCCACGCTTCCTCTGGTGTCGTATCAATACCCTTGGTTGGCGATCTAATGATGAGGTAGACTGCTGATGCTACGGCTTCTGTCCAAAACGATTTTGGCAGCTTCGCTTCGTACAGCATGCACCTCGCTCGCTTCACTACCGTCCGGTTGACACGCTCGGCAAGGCTGTTCTGCTCGGGGGTGTACTCCGCTGAAGTTTGGTGATGGATTCCTAACTGCTTCAGGAAGTTTTCGAAGCTTCTGTTCTTGAACTCCCAGCCATTATCCGTCCTAAGCACCTTCAACTTCTTGCCACTCTGTCTCTCTACAATTATGGAATTCCTTGAACTTTTGTAGCACTTCCTCCTGCGATTTAGTGCGTAAAAAGTAGACGAAAATTTTTCGAGTCGGTTAACGACAAGTAATAACGGGTTCCTCCCAACGATATTTCTTCCATCGGACCGCAAATGTCCGAGTGGACCAGCTCCAGTTCTTCATTGGCCCGTGAAACAACGTGGTTGAATGGCAATCTCGTTTGCTTCCCGACGGCACAAATTTTTTAGCCTCTGCAGTCCGTGCCATCGTAGTTGACCCCACTCGCTAGCCCATTTTTGAGTTTCAACAAACTTCCGGAGCTCAGATGTCCCATCCGCTGATGCCACAGCTTCGCCGTTATTCGGGGTGAGCACGCATACGCCTGGGAGCTCTTCTGCTCCAGCTTGTATAACTCATTGTAACGGCATCCGGTAGCAATAACCTTTCCGCTGGGATTCACCACCTCGCAACCAGTCTTTCTGAAAACAACAGTGTGGCCTTGGTCAATTATCTTACCTACTGACAGTAGGTTTACTGCCAGCTCCGGAATCAGCTCGACATTTCGCACTTCTATCGCATCGAGGTTGCAGGTGGGCTGTAGCTTGGTAGATCCTTCCGCAACGATTTTCATCACGCCCTTGTTTGCCGCGTAGATACTACCATTCGCTTCACGTATGTTCTCCAACAGTTGTTTGTTGTTGGTGCGATGCTTGGCAGAACCCGAATCGAAATACCAACTGTTGTCCGTTGCCGCGTCTTGCACTGACAACACGGTGCAAAAGGCGTCTCCTTTCCGATCCGATCCGCTTCGTTTCGATG